CGACATTTAGCATGGCATTGTTATTCATATTCTTTCACGGCCGCAATTCGTCTCACTCCTATGTTGTCGGCCGATTCTTCGCCGTCCGTTACTCCTGACATTTGCAGAACGCTCTTCTAGTTCTGTCGTCGGTGCCTCGGGCGTTCTCTAGTGGCCCGTTTCCGTTCGGGAAACCGTTCGATTGCACGGCCCCGTGACAGTACTGCCAGACATAATACTATACTATTATTCATTGCCCGATCCCAAAGCTTTCATTTGCATCATGACCGTTTCTCTGAATACATTCCGAGGATCCGAGATGATCCGTCGTGTCCACAAGCCGCGGTCGATTGATTTTTTTTTTTTTTAGGGCCTAATATCTCTCGTATAAGCACATTTCTTTAGAATAGCTATTCGTTTTTCATCCGGATTTTCATACCATATTGACCTTACAAAATATACTGTTTTAGATGAGATAAGTATTGGTTCGTATACGAGTTTTAGGACGAAGACGCGTTCGGTCATTGCAACAGTATCCCTATAATTATTTCAGTTTGCAATTATTTTTTTCGGAAAAAAAAAAGGCGAAAAATTAAAAACTGCACTTTCTGTTAATTTAAGTACCTGCGTAGTTACACGGATCGCGTTATACGTACTCGTAAGGCGTTTTCCTATAAGGAACATCCGGAAGAACGTGCATTTTTCATCGAAATCCGGGCCCTATTTCGGAACTGCGCAGTTCGCGTATTCTAAATTCTAAACCGATAATATTCGATACGTTCGCGTGTTGAAAGATTAAGTGTATTCCGCGATCTTTGGGAAAATGTACGCCGGCGACGGCCGTACTGTACACGGGCGCGTTTAAAAGCGGTCTGTTGTACCCGATTTTTCATTGTAATCATATTCACTTAATCTGGTATAGGTACCTCTATACATACAGACAAATGGGCGCATTAAACATATGGGTTTTTGCCGTTACCCGTTACGCGGACTCGATATATTTCACAACCAACGGGGATTAATTACAAGCGATTTCTAATTGTATTTACGCGATTTTTTGCCGTTACGAGTTTCGCGGCAGCAGGCGGTTTGCCGGTGATGTAGGTGTAGACCTACGGCGAATGGGTTCACCGCCGAATCTTCGAACGCCGAACGGGGGAGGTTTGTTTCCGCGGATAAAATATCGCGCTGAACGCGTTTGTCTAAAGAAGTTTCGGACGTGGCCGAACAGAAACAAATGAAAAAAACCAACAACAATAAACAGCCGGATTTGAGATTAAACTGCGTTAAAAAACATCAATGAAAAGGCCGGAAATACAACGTGCTTGGGTGTAGCCAGTATTGTAGCTAGGAAGGTGGGAAAGTAAGATACAAACGGGAATTCAATGTACATTTGTAAGCAACGATAAACCATTGCTAACGAAAAAAACGATTCTGAGCGGAGAGCTCAATTGATAACGTTGCTTTGTAAACGATATATTATATTTTATATTTATAGTAAAGTGATTACAAAAATGTGCGTTTCCACGACATCAATGATTGTTTAAAAAACAACATTGAAATAATGAAGACTTAAGAACAATAAAACATAAATAGAAACGGTTGCCAATGACAACCTTATTTTCAATCTTTCGATCATTTTTAACCTAAAGAACCGGGTTTTCCTCGTTATCTCGAATAGTAGTGAGAATTTCAAAAAATGACCTCTGTAAATTACCGTCCGGAAAAAGTGCTCTACGCGATAATGGGATTAAGTTTCCTGGTAAAAAAAAAAAAGTGTTCGCATAAAAGAAAAAAAAAATCATTGTAAAACCAATACAATCCCCGCTCCATCATCCGGAATCTAAAAAAAAAGTGTTTTTTTTTTTTTTAATTAATACTTCAATCCAGTTAAAATGTTAATTTTAACTTACGATTAATTTTCCGACTTATAGTCGAATTATTGATAGATTATTTCGAATTGATTTTATTCGAACGCAATACGTGACCGAATCGCAAAAAAAAAATCACCGACTTGTGTCTTGCGGTCTTGCGCAAATCATATAGTAAAAATCAAAAAAAAAAAAACAAAAAAAAAAAACGAATTCACTTAAAATCGGTATAAATCGCGATAAAAGTATCGTCCTGTATAATAGTAGGTAATTTGTATCCTACGAGTTCGCGTGAATTTCGCGCCGACACAAGCCGCATAATATTATTATACGTTTTATATACACACGTGTCTACGCGTGTGCCGTGTACCGCTCGAGAATAGAAAAAAATCATTTTAGATTCCGAGCTTAAAGCGAGGAAGCTACAGGCTTTGCAATGCTGTTTATTATATTTTTTCTTTCTGGTCTGCGGACGCGTTTATATCCTAGTAAAATTGCTCCGATATTCACGTGTAGCAACCTTTCCGAAAGCTCGAGTTGTCCAGACGGCGCTTTAAAGAGGTCGATTTTCGACGCCATTTTTTAAATAAATATACTCGAGTGGGAAAAAACGCAGGAAAGCGTACGATTTTACGATTTCATTATTTTATAAAAACCTACCGGAAAAAAATGGTTTTAATGAAAATTTACAAGATACCTTTTTTGTTGTCTTTTTTATTTACTTTCTTCCGGTATCATCGCCAAAACTTTTGAGCCACTTTTAAGCCTTTAGAGAATTTTAATTTTTAGGAGTTGTATTGCAGTAATTCGGTTATAAATACACGTAGAGACTTAAAACTTGGTAATGATACTTATATTGGACTTACCTAGACGTGGTAAAATTTCCAAAATCACGGGACGACTTTTTTTTTTCTTTTTTTTTAATAAGCGTTTTGAAATCAAATTCACTTCGAATTATGTTTTACCGAACTGCACTCGGAATCGTCTTACGTCTAGCAATGGTTTATCATTGTTTACAGATATAAATGAAATAACTCTATGTATCCTACCTTCCCAACTTCTCACCTACAACAGTGGCCGCTGCCATCCCCAGTATCAGTTTTTTTTCTAAACGGTTCATCCGCTTAAAAACGCGTGCGCTTTTCGATAAGCCGTGTACAGTTTAAATGAAACAAATATACCGCTTTAGCAAAATACACGTACGATTTGAATTTGTACGTATGTAGTTTTAACGCGATGACGTCTCAAACTTTTACTTTTCTGTGCCACGATTTTTTTTTCTTTGCTCCACAATCTTTCCGAAACTTATAATAACGGTATAGTATACTATTTTGTCGTTTAATTTCAAAACTTTGCACATATTATGTTAATATAATGTCTACATAGTAAACATAATATTATGTAAACAATGTAAACGAAAAGTTTCCAGAAGTTTTTAAATTTGTATTTTTTCGTTATTTTCGTTAGAACGTGAGTTTCAGCTATAATGGATTTCGTTATGTATATCAAACAGCACTGGAAATGATTATTTTTCGCTTATTCGTCGAGATATCCATTAAACTCGGACCCCCGACGGGAATATTCGGGAATTACAAAAATTATTCTACTATTACGTGGCGCTAATCAGTTATAAAATTAACTCTCTGCCGTCCGTCTATGGTTTTCGAAAACGCACGTCTTCGATTACTCAGTACACTTACGACCCACGGCCCGTCCGCCGAATATACTCGTTTGGGGCTCAATCCTCGGAAAAAAAAAACAAAACAAAACAAACCGCTCGTCTTTGCCCGCGCCACTCGAAAGTCTATCCGTTTTTTGTAAATAGGTAATAGGTGAGACGACGATAAAAAAAAAAAAAAAAAATTATAATAATAATAGTAATACGCCGACGATAAGTTATGGAAAAAAAAAAAATTATCATGTCACACGCGAGAGTGTCATCGAGAACATGGCGAGACACGAGCACGATATTATTTTATTAAGTACCTACCTGTATTATAGTGTGTGTGTGTGTATGAAACAGACTTGGTAATAAATACGATAATATCGTATAAAGGAAAAAAAATATTAAAATATTAAAAAACAAAACCAGGAGTTTTTTTAGAGTACGTTAATAAAATATAATATACGCGTACCCTTATATTCTCTATATTATTTTAATGATATTAATTTTTGACGCGTTTCCGTGTATAAGCGGAACAATGATTTTAGTCGGTACGTTTCGCTCGGCCACTGCCCACACATCGCGCGTATCACGAACAATATAAAAATAAATAGCTGAAAACGGGAACGGGTGCAGCCACTGTTGTAGGGGAGAAGTTGGGAAGGTAGGATACGTAAGGTTAATTCATTTATATATGTAAACAACGATAGACCATTGATTGACGAACAACGATTCCGATAATATAAAATTCGAAGTGCCGTATTTTTTTTTGCGATTTTCGTTTAAATTTGATTTCAAAACGCTTATCGATAAAAAAAATTCTTTTTAAAATTTTACTACGTCTAGCTAAGTCCAATATTAGTATTATCACCGAGTTTCAAGTATAACCGAATTACAGCAAACAAATTCCCATAATTAAAATTTCTTAAAAGTCATTAAAAATCATTTTCTCTAAGAGAAAACGCCGTCCGTGGTCTTATGAAATAATAAAATCGTAAAATTGTACGTTTTCCTACGTGATTTTTCCCACTTGAGTACATTTATTCTAAAAATGACCTCTTTAAATTACCGTCAAGGCAACACGGGCTTTCAGAAAAAGTGCTACACGGAAAAACCGGAGAAAGTTTACTAGGAAAAAACGTGTCCACAGATTAAAAAAAAATAATAAAAACGAAAAAGAAAGAAATAATCAACATTGTAAAACCAATAGCTCCCTTGCTATACGCTCGGAATTTAAAACGAATATGGAATTTATAGCCCATCCTTACTAATCCGGTCTAAATATTTTAAACTCTAATACATATTATGTCCGATAAAAAAAAAAAAGGTATACTGTTATAATATATGTCTTAACATTGTACAAAAAATGTTCGTTTTTCGAATTTTCGTTGAAAGAAGGGAGTAGGGGTAGCTTTTGAAAAATGCTCGTTTATTGCTTACGGAATAGCAGTAATACACTTGCGGTAAAATATATCACAACCCCTTTTAAAACATTAAAAAAAAAAAAAAACTACAGAAATCAAACTGATCGCTAAATCGTATAGCATATCACTCATCCTGTACAAGTATTCGTAATAAATTACGAACAAATTGAATGATTGAAATATTGATAAACGCTGAATCGTGTGGAGTATTATTAAAATTCTCACTCTGAATAGCAGACGACAAATAATAATAATAGTTTAGATCCATAGTATAGAGTTCGGCTCTCTGGTTTGGAAGCCTAAAAGTGTTGGGCGGATTAATAAACTCGAGAGGGCGCAAAGAAGGTAATATTTTCCGAAACGATTTCGATAAGATCACGCGACGACGTACGTGAACGCGGTTTTTTCGCGCGGGCGTCGAATTCGTTTTTCCGTAACTATACATCGGTAATGTCCGCGTAGCGATCGGAAATAAATTTATAAAAAAAAAATTTAAAAAAAAAGTAATAATAATCTCCCCCGTACGGACGGAAAGTATCGCGCCCACGCGCTTCCCATCCGTCGGTAAATTCGGATCGCTCGCCCGCGCGAAATCCGAACAACCGCGAAAAACGACTCAACGGACACTTTCGCGCAACAACCGCGGGCAAGTAGTGCGCATAAATACGAACCTATAGCCCCGGTGATCGCGCGGTCGTTATGACCGAAAATCGGACGCGCGTAACGATGTTGACGTGACGGATCGCGCCGTCGCCGTTTGAACTCGATCGGAAATATCGGATTTTTTTGTTTTTTTTTTCGTTTTATTTTTCGCTCCGTTATTTCGGGACCGGGTTTTCAGGAGAATTCGACCGGTTCAAAACGAACGGGTAAAACCAACGCCGTACCGATACACGGGCATCGCGGCGTCGTGGCGTCCGCCCATTCTCAACGTCCTGAATAGGGTCACCGTGTGTCGATAACCGTTATCGATTCGAAATCCGCGACAAGCCGCGATACCGGCCGCAGTGGCGTCCCGTTCAAACACAAACCCGGTTAAGACGCATTCGATGCCGACCGAAAGCTCAACAATGAATTTGAACACGTTACGTTTTCAACTTTATGGTTTTATTTTTTTTTTTTTTCGAACGCAGTCCGCGGCGGAATAAAAATTCAGAACGAAAAACGAATTTCCGCGCACAACCGTATTCCTTACGATGCCGAAATTTTTTTTGTTTTTTTTTTTTTCGATAACATCTATTCATTTACTATTTCACGCGTGCGTTATTTCTTCTTATTTTTTTTTTTTCTACGCATCGTACATTTTACAACAGAACGGGGAAGGGGTAAATATTTAATTTGTTGTACATATACATTTCAACCCCGGGGGACATGACTATGCGCGTTATGCGCTGTTGCGTGGGTGAACCCACGTAGGTACAGGTATCTATGGGCATCTATATGTTCATATCAAACCGTAACACACTCCTTCGGGAAATCAAAAATTATTTAGTTCGCGTGTTCAAGCGATCGGCAACAATGGCCCGGGCGATTGTTGCGCGTATAGGTAATAGCCGCTGTGTAATGGCATTCGTCAAAAATGCCGATTCGCGGGGAGAAGCGGAAAACGAAATGTTACTAGGGCGGCGATTGCGTTTCGTCGTAAAGGCGCCGAACCGTAACACATTATACACGCGGGTACGGAAAACGGCGGCGGTCTTTGAGCGGCGGTCGTCGCTTCTAGGTTTTTTTTTTATGTAAGACGTGCGCGCGTTCGATATTGATAAAAAATTAAATACCAATACCCCGTGTATTATGGTAAAAAATAAAACAATCGGCGAACACGTTATCGAGCGTCGGGAATACAAGGGAATACGCAAACGACCGTGCGCGGGTACCGAATACGGGATCGTACGGTATAATTAGTGGCTTTTTGAATCGTTTCGGGTTTCCGGGTAAAATATAAGGGATATTTTTTTTTTTCTAAGCGTATTCGCGTGTTTCGGTAAATGTTTCAGTCGTCGTGTTACGTTACACGTGCCGCAGGTGATCGCGTACAGCGACGTTATAACAACGGCATTTCGATCGCTTTGATATTTTCGATATCTCTGCCCCCCCCTCCCCCCAGATTATATTCGCTCGCGCACAATTCCACGCAACACTGCAACCGCAGGCGTTCGACCGTGGAAAAAACGATCGAAATCAGTTCGCATTGGCTTCGCCCCGGCGTTTTCTTAGATGAACGCCCCGGCAAAACAACCGGCCCCGCGTAACACCGCAATTTCCCCCGGTCGGTTCGCGGCGCCGGCAATAATATTCGGAATTACCGTCGGAACGCGGCGAACCCGCTCGGTTCGCGCGTCCCGCGGCCGTTACGCGCCGCCGTTACCGGGTACCGCCTCGGGTCGCAGGCGAAACGGAATAACGGCGGCGCTCCCGTCGGCCGCGTTCGAACGCACCGTCGCGTTACGACGGTCGGTTTTTTCTTCTTTTCCGGTCGCCGTCGGTTAAACCGAAATTGTTTCGCAACGACGGTGCTCGGCCGGCGAACCGTTTTTTTTTTTTTTTTTTTTTTTTTTTTTTTATTATTTATTTTCCCGCGCGCCGCCGGCAAAAAAGCCTCTCGAAATCCGTCCGGCACCGGAACGCAACGCGTGACGCGGTCGCGGTGATACGCGCGCGCGTTTTTTTTTCCCGCCGTCCGCCGTCGCGTTTCGTAACACCGCCGCGAAAACGACAACGCGGTTTCCCGCGCCGAGGACGTCGCATCGCCCGTCGTGTATTTGCCGCGCGTCCGGTCGGGTCCCGGGTAAGGCGTTGTAACACGCCGCTGTGTGGCGTACGGCCGGTCATTCATGTACGGGCAGTCTACAGCGTCTGCCGTACGCGCCGCGCGCGAAAAACCGTCCCGGCGGCGCGTTTCACTCGCACGTCGCCGAGGTATACGGCGCGTCACCGGCGGTCACGGCGAAGAGCCCGCGGTTCGCGGACCGGAGTTTTTCGCGACGCACTACTCGGCGTTCCGGCAAATCTCCCTGTCTAGACCGTCCCACGCACCCGTCGTGTCGCGAACGCCGCGGATAAATCGCTTTTTAGCGATCCGCGTTCGGCTCCCGCCGCCGGTACGGTGCGCACCGGCCGTGCCGACAGAGTCGCCGTACCGCCGCCGCGCCGCCGAGAGGACGCGATAACGACGGCGCGGCGTAAACTCGCATGATGAACAACTCGCGAGCGAACGAGCAGCGCGGGTTTCGCGAACGTTCACCTGTTGGCCGTATTTGTCTCGCGTTTCACGCATCGCCGAGGCCCGCGAACGCGCGCGAAATAATTCCCGGTGTAATTCCGGCGGCATCGCGGCTCGCAACGGGCGCACTCCCCCGTAGCTGTTTGTTCCGCGGAATCGACCGGGGGTCTGGCAAGACTGGTCTTTTCGACGTGACATTTTGATTGATCTGAACGCGTGCGGAAAAATAAATCCGACCCGTTACCCCGTTACGATGAGATCAGACGCACCTCGTTAAACTCGTGTATACGCCGTTTACAACATTAGCCGGTAGTTATATTGTATATATATATGTATAAGTTTAGTATGCATACAGGTCACGGGATGAATAAATTATCGCGCGGCCGTTTCCCGGGAGAGTGCGCGACGACGTTTTCGCCGTCAACAGTTTAAATCTGTCCCGTGTTTGCGCACTACGGCTGTACTGCAGGTGTTTTCGGCCGACGACAGAGCTTCGTCGCCAAAAGTCGAATTTCCCCCCGGCTATATTTCGTACTGCACACTCAATATCCCAAGACAATAAACGACCGAGCACTATAATATAATATTACGCCGTACTACAGACTACATTGCACTAATATAGTACATCTTCAAAAAAAAAAAAAAAAAAAAAAAAAAAAAAGAACCTTTGAAATTTGAGCGTAAAAATAGTGGAAGGGGGTGTTGAAAATCGAAACCGTCAACAGACGCGCACTCGACGTTAACGCGATGCGGCGCTTATACAACTGCGTCCCTCTGGCTTCGTTTGAGGAAGGAGGCGGTCCGTAGGAGTGTTAAAATTAAAAAAAAAAAAAAATCACCCCTATCCCGCAACAACACGCTCACGGAATTCACATTTAAATTGAATCCGACTTGTATTGTGTCAATCTGTCTGTAAAACGACTATTTAATTCCCGAGATTGTCCACACATTTGGTCCAGAGGTGTCTGAAAGTTAAAAATATACTATAATATCTGCAGTACTATTACAGTATGCTGTGCACGAGTCTATATACACTAACTAGACATTTTTTTTCGGTGAATTTTTGTTTTACGGAAAATCTGTATTCTTAAAAACGACTCGTAAATCGATTATCTCCGTCAAACTATGTACGTCATCGTAACGATTCGAGCACCTTTATTTATTCTCCTACCCTCTTTTTTTTTCCTTTTTTTTTTTTAAACGATTTATGCCCTTACGTATATAATAACATAATATAATTTTTAAGTACAAAACATTGTTGCATATTCCAGGAATAATAATGTTTCCATCTGTTCCGACGGCGTGCAGTTTTTTCCTGTCGCTACGCACAATACCCCGCTCCCGCATAGTATTCAAACGCTGTAATAAACTGTATTTGAAAGTCTCGTTTTGAACGCGCACACAAGAAGTAAAAAAAAAAAAAAAAAAAAAAAAACCGACAGAGTAAAATCATAATCAATATATATTGCAACACACGACACACGTGTACAAAAAGGCACAGAGCCGATGCTGTACAAAAAGGCACAGAGCCGATGCGACTTTACGAAAAACAATAATAATAAAAAAAAAATAATAAAAAAAAAAATAATAAAAAGTCCGTTTTAATTTTCAAGTCCGTTTTAATTTTCATTTTTCACTATTTATATCACATTTATAACACAATTCACATTTATA